TGCACAACAACTCCCCAGACTCCCTAAAGGTCCCAAGAAATGGAACAGAGGGCTTCCCCGGCGCTCGACCCGCAGAGCGGGGTCGGCGGATAGCAATTACAGATGTCCGCCCTTGTGCATTTTCCTGAAGCTTCATTGAATTTCTAGTTTGACATGCCTTTGACTTAGTCTTGCTGATGAGGCAGGGGTTCACAGGACATAGCTTTTACGGCCACCTTCGGGAACAGCCTTTTAATATGATCCCATGGAACGAAGACAACATTTGCTTCAAAACCTTAGTACCCATAGAACCACAGCGTACCAGACAACAAAACAACGAAAGAAAGACGAAATGCCACAGGCTGAGCGTAGCCCTGGAGCACTTCTTCGGGAGGGCAAGCAACCTGTAGAAGAAGCAGCAGCCGAAGAAGGCACCATCTATCAACTTGGAAAAGATTACCAAAGGCATGCAGGAAATTGCACCATCAAAAAGGAAACAACAATCGGGGAATACTCAACCATCGAGATGAAGATGAAGCCACGGCCAGCCTAGCCACCGAGAAATGCAGAACATGTAGAACTGCGATCTAAACCCTCAACAAAAGGGCGTGTATTAAAAAAAATAAATCCTTTTGTGAAAAACCCTAAAAACCTACAATCTACCTGCAACAATTACCCTATAAAGACACGAATCTGTCGACCGTAGCCCCTAAGCCCCAACCATACACCCCATTCCAAATGCACCCTCACCCGAAGTTACCCCTGAGAGAAGTCGCAAGTGTAAAAGGGCGCAATCCATCCCGCGCAATACAAAGCATCCAGTTTCCTGGCAGCCTGCCCAGCTGGCGGCGTTGTCGGCCCCCAGTCTGTGTACAGGACCATGAGGATTTGCGTGGAGCGGGCTTCTAAGAGAAAACCCTTAGCACAGCAAGCATCAAACGGGTGCTGTTAACACGCAAAGTCTTCCGTTGCAACAGCTGGCTAAGCCAAGCCCAGCGGCCAACTTAAGGGGAAAGCTCCAACACCTCTCGCCAGACACATGTCTTGGGGCAACGGTAGCGCTCGTAATGTTGGCTGTGTTGTATGCATAGGTTCTGAGCATCATTTTGCATTTGTGCAGGGATGCAGGCTCTGGCTACGGATCACCATTGGCCTAAACATCAGCACGAATTAGAGCAGGGGCTTGCTCAAAAATAAACCTGAATCCATCATAAGCCCAAGCACAGAAGTACCAAAAGAGAACACAACCAGGCCATTGCAAACAAGACTGTCAGCGGAGTGGTGCTCGCAAGCCAGGACCCAGCCAGCCGCTTGCGCTGCGCCAGCGTGGCCTGGCACCCGGAGGCGCTGGGGAGAAACATCACCAAGAGCGACAGAGAGAGAGAGAGAGAGAGAGCCAGAGAGCTTTCAATACTGGGTTTGCCAAATCTGTTGCCAACTAGTCCCCACCTGGCCAATTAGTTTCACAAAGTCCTCCAACACCAAAACTCACTTAGCCCAACTGTTGTGCACGCATGTAAGCTCTAACCTTGAAGGAACATTGATGGAGGCAACCAGTGATGAACCAATCGCAAGAAACTCCGCAATCACAGCCATTAGTATGTGGTCCCCGTATGGTGTAGTGACCTTTGCAGCTAACAAGGCCCATGCCATTGTGGAGTAGAGGGGTGTAGTTCCAAGAGGCCCAACACGGGCTGGGCAGGAGCCCGGGAAGACTTTCTTGGTCATCCCATAGCCCGAAAGAAAGAAAGTCTTCTTAGGGCTCTACTTACCTCTACAGGTACGTTGGGGTACTCCCCAAGCCCACGCAAGCATGAGTCCACGAATCCAGTCGGCTACCTAGGAGGCCCCACATACCAGCAGTGCTGTTGATGCCGAGTTACACCCGGACCCCCTCCAACCCCAACTAGATCCAACTAGCATAACCTTGCTTGGCAACGTCAGTACCACTCTCTGTGCTGCTCAACTAGGCTGTGAAACTGCGCACGTGTATCCCCGACACGGAGTTAAGATTAAGAACGATGACAGGTCCATGTACCCAGAAGAGCTTTGAGGATCATTTTGTTGACCCCATTCATTGATGTGTGACACATCATGATTCCATCCCTCGCAGACTGTTTGCGCACAAGGTGCCGACGCAATTGCTGCTGTGCTATGACGACGATCGCCAGCCCCTCCCTGGAGCAAAAAGCGCGGAAGGTCTACAGCACAAAGATTTGTCTCGTCGCGAGGCCATCAATCCAGATGTGGGACCTCCGCAATTGCCAGTACCCTTTTAAGGCCGCGTGGAGGGTGGAAGGTGGCAGGCAAAGAAGCTTTGAAACACTGTGGAATCAAGTCTTTTCATATTGCCAGGTCATGCTATCGAACTAAGTGGATCGGTTCGACCGACAGCTTCAGAAACGAAGCCTGCAAACGTGAACCTATTTGCAGATCTTGAAGCCGCATGTCAGGCAACATTTTTCTGCAACCTTGATTGACCTTCTGGGCTCAAATTAGCCTCAAACTGAAGAAAAAGCATCACTTGCACGGCATGCTTGCTGCTCGAGAAAGCCAGTTGTCTAATGAAACCTGTGGCAAGACTTGAGCTTCAGAAGCTCTAAACGTCTGCTAGAAGCAAGCCCGCACAGGAGGTCCAAAGCGCAAACTTGCGCCCCCCTGCTGCTTCGTGAAATGCGGTTTGCCTTGTTAAGCCATAACGCTTTGCCCAGTACCGAACAGATTCAGTGTTAAAAGAGTTTTCCGATGCTCAACGCTTCCATCAAAGCCCGCACAAACACCATCGCCCTGCCCTGTCGCTGGGCAGGCCTCTACTCCTTAAAAAGACGAGGCTTCTTCTTTTTGAGCTTGGCTTTGGTCCAAGAGGCTGACTGGTGGCCACTGGAGCAAGGCAGACATCTCATCGCCAGCTGTACCTCATTTGCACGCAAACGTAAGACCACATGGGGAAGACAACCAGCAGTCACAAATGCATCTCAAGATGGGTCGAGGCAAGGTTTCGGAATGTTCTTTACTGGCGTTTGATTGTTTCGTGACGTTGTGCTAGGCCACCTTTCTGAAAGAGCCTTGCATGCAACCGTTCGCAGGAGACAGCACCGCACACCAAAGGAGTGCTCGGCGTGGCCTGGAACCAGTGCCTGAGCTCAGGTTTCTTGAAAATGGAAGATTGCTGAAGTAGCTGTTGAAGCGTGTCCGAATTCGGCAGATTTGCCCCAAGCTGGATCTAGAAGATAGGGTAATGGCAGAGGCCTTGTGACCAAGCCCAAGCAAGATGCTTCGGCTGATCAGGATGGATCCGAATTTGATCCTTTCCTGTGGCAAGGCAGGGCGGGTTCGAGGTTGCAGCGTTACGTGCGAAAGGGAATTCCAAAAACGGCCATCTATGACAGGAAGGCATGCATGGCAGGCATGAGAAGACTACTTCTGAATACTTCACTATCCCTAGCTCTCTCCTCAGTTTTGATTGGCAGCGCCCCACACGGCAGGACAACCGCGTGATTTGCACCAGCATTGCCTCTGGGAGCCGATGGGCTCAGTGCGAAGATGTGGAGATATGCGGAGTCCTTCAAAGTCACCGCTTGGCTTTGCTTTCCCCTTCAAAGTTCCTTCTGGGCTTCCGTCCCATGGCGCAAGGTCCGGAGACCTGGTGTGACCTCTCAGCCCAGCAGAACAGCTTCGAGGCGTCAACAGCAAGCATTGTGCAAAGGGATTCTAACATGGAGTTTTTAGCCACAAACCACTGAAGACCCCTGCTTGACTCAAACGACCTATTGGGCACCCAATGCAACTTGGCAATTCGGTGTTGCTAACATCACCCTGCCCACGAGAGTGCAAGGATGCAAGAGTTGTCGATGAACTGCTGAGGAGAAGTAGATATTCACAGCCCGTCTGGTTCAAGTTTGAAAGGGACTCTTCTGGCCCCAGCTTCTGCGATACAAGCTTCAAAGACTGGTCCTAGGAAACTTGCCATCTCATTGGGAAAGCCTTGAACGATGCAAGAAGACACGTATGCGAGATCTGCCGGCCAACAAGGTGCAGTGGGCCCCTCACAAGCCCTCATTGTTTACTGCCGCCTCGTACAGCGGCACAGACTCCAGCTCAGCTTTACTCGAAGCACTGGCTGTGGGAGACTCGCCAAAGCACCCCTGAGTGAGGTTAACGTGCACTCGGTACAACAGCAGCAAAGTGCCGGAGTGCGCTACTGCCCGCGCTGGTACAGGCTCGGAACAGCGGAATGAATTACAGAGAGGGATCGGATAAGTAACTTCTTGTGCAGAGGAAGTCTTGTGGAGCTTCGTTTGGCTTTGGTGGCAAGCTTCTCTCCTTCGGCGCAAAGGCAAGTGAGTCCTGCCGTCCCCCCTCCGTTTCCCCTTCCCCTTGCCTCCATCAAGGCCGAAGTGAGCCCGCTACCGCCTCAGAAGGTGCAGGCTTGCCGAAACAAGTCATGCTTGTCTACACGAGGCCTGCATCCTTTTGCCACTCCTTGGTGGTGCCTAGTGAGCCAGAGATTGCCCCGCGCTGAAAATCGGCCAACACGTCCACATGATTCAGCACATAATGCAGCACTTATCCACATCTGCCGTCTGTGCTGTTACATACGTCTCTCTTTGTGTGCCTACTCTCCCGTTGTCTCCCCGTACCCTCTTCCCTCGTGTGCACGAGCTCAAAGGTGCCGACAGCAGACGTCTTTGAGCATTGGATCGCTGAGCGCCGGCTCCGCGAGTACTGCCTGGACAAGGTTGCGACAAAGAATGGGAGCACACGAGTTTGGAAAGGAGTCGAGAAACATGGAGAAACACATGCTACAACCTGCATCTTTGTTTTAGGAGGCTCTCAGTTGTGGCCAGGGTGTCTGTCTAGTTTGATATTCTTTGAGCGCTCCTTTGCCAGACGCGAAGCTGCGGCGGCGTGGCTTCTCAAGAGGGCCTTATGTGGGAGCTAATGGCCACACTGGCAGAGGTGCGAACACATTCATGGTGCACGTTAATCAAGTCGCATCGCCAGATTCCTCTCTTGAACGGCCTGGTGCTCTCCCTGTCTCTGTTGTATTATTGATTGTAGTGCTTTTAACATGACAGGAGGAGGGGCGCACCCGTGTGCCGACACTTCTGGGATTCGACCAGGCCTTCTTTTTGATTCCGATTCAGAAATTAGCACATTACGGGCCCCAGATTTTGGAAGCCGTGTTCGCTGCGCAAGACGGTTTGCTGCCCATGAGGACCGGATTCTGCAGGAGGCAGAGCGTTTCCTGGGCACCAAGCCAGGCATGCTGATGGGCCAGCAGGAGGCAGATGAGTACTTCGCCACGCTTTGAACTGATCACCACCCCGGTCAAGGAGCCAGTGGCGGCTGCACCGCCCACACCGTCGCCGGGCGCTGGGACGTGGTATCTCTGTTCGGATTGGTTTTTACGTGGGAAGAGTTCTGAAGACAGGTTGGGCCCTGAGCTGGACCTTACACAGGCTTGCTGTGGCTTTGCCTTCGCTCTTCCGCTCCTTTTCTCTTTCTCTCGTCGTGGCTTGTGGCTGTCCATCTGTGAATGTGATATTATGTCTGTTCGCATCTGGAGTGGGCACCTTCACAGGCGGAGAACTTTTTCGACGAACTGTCGGCTGCGGACCCAGTGTTGCCCAAAATCTCTGCTTGTGCTTGTTGCCTTGCCAATCACGTTTGGTAGGAACAAGCAGCGACTACCTACATCCTTGCAGTCTCGTCCTCTCTATTCACATGCACTCTGCACCCGACCATCTCAGGCCTCCACGGAGCAGAAAAAGCGGGATGAGATGGAGCGGGAGGAGCAAAAGAAGAAAGAGGAGGCAGATGGCCTGACATTGCCTGACAAGCAATCAGCGTGGGCAATATGGGCATGTGGCAGGCCCTGGCCCTGAGCTCAGACGACATCAGACAACGAAGTGTTCAGACAGCTCCTACGGGACATGTCGCAACAACACCAGTGAAAGCAGATGGTGTTGGGGCCAGCCGCTTCGAAACTGAAGTTTGTAGCTACACTGTATGATGCCGTATGCGTTTCAGCTCAGGGTCTGTCAGCCAAAGTCCCAAAGACTACGGACTGGTCGGGGCCTCGTGCACAAGAAACAGTGGGTCTTCAGGCTGTAGTGAGGCCTATGTGGCCTACGCCTCACCATATCTTATCACTACCTGTAGAATTGTAGCATAGCAAATAGGGATGGCTGAGGTCCTCAGGCCCGGAAGCCTTGATCAAGCAGTCACTCCTGGCCGCGCCCCCAGCGCTGGCCATACTCAAACTATGAGCAGGACGCAGATTACTTGCTGAAAGAATGAGAAATCACGCAAGTGATTGTGAGAATGAACGCTGAGCAGCTGAGCAGGCAGGCCATGCAATGAGTGGCCGGATGAATAGGGATTCCAGCCAGAATGAACGGATGCAGATAGTCATGGCAGGGTGAGGTAATAACAAGGAGAGATAGAGCCCTTACAACAAGTGCTGGGGTCTGCCCAGAGTGAACATGCGAGAAACGCCGCTATAGAGTTCTGAAGAGCAGTGGTGATGCTCATGCACTTCGTGGTTGATAGAAAGCAGGTGCAGTTAGACCTGCCTCAGGTTGCAAATGCTTCTTAGATGTCTACAGTAAAATACCGAACCTGGAAACAAACAGTTCAGCGTGCTTCTCCTGGGGCGAACAGGTTGGGAACCTCACAGCAGCTGTTGAGCTTTGCTTCAAGAGTGGCAAGATGGCCGAGGCCGCCACTGTGACTCACAGATCCTACTTGCAGACATCCACCTCTTCAGTTTCTCCCTCCACAACTGCAAAACCTAAGGCCTTGCTCCTTGCCTCTGGTGGTGGAATCACGCTGTGGACCCGTGCTCGAGATGAGTACCTGCGACTTCAGGACGCTCAGTCAGTGAGATCATGGGCATGGGGTACAGTACAGATATTTGTCGTGTGTAGCTGCGTGCGCAGTGGGTGCATGACCAGCACTGAGAATCACCATTTCCTCTTAATGTTCAAGCTTGTGGCGAAAACTTCGCCTGATGGAAGCAGATCGAGACCTCTTTGGACAATTTCCAGATATTCCTCAGGCTCACTTTCCTACCAAGACACAAATAATATCGGCTTCAACTAGGCAATTGAAGCCACCTGTGACGGGTTTATGGGCGGCTCACGCCTGCTACCATCCAGAATCTAGCGCAGACATCGTTTTCTTTTTGTGCATGATAGAGCTTGAGCGCGGCCGCGCATTGTATATGCGTTCAAAAGGTAGGTCAATCGCGGTTCGCGAAGCCAGAACAGTTACCCCTTGTTAGTTGAATGTCTCCACCCTGGCACAACAGGGAGACTCCTTTCTGACCACCGTCGGCAACATCATGACCAATGACTTCAGCAAGCTTGCCCCTGCACAGCACAATCAAATTTGGCACGAGACATCCAAGCTAGTAGTTATGTCAGGTGGCTAACTCCAACTTAGCGCACTGGATGGAGACTTTGGCCATTGTGGCGACTTACTCTGGCCGCGAGTACCAGGCGCAGAGCAGGAATGAACTCTGGAGGGTGGTTGAACATACGCTAAGGCTCGATCCATTTGGTTTCAGCTTTAACAACAAACTAGGGCAACCGAAGAGCCTGCTATTGCAAGTTGCTTTAGCTAAAGTGCAGCGGGTCGGGTCGGAGAGCTTGTTGCGGATTTCTCCATCCCGGCACACTGCTGAGCTACTACGCGTCTCCTTGTTTTCCGACAAGGTGACAGGCAGCTGCATCTGTCAGAATGAAGCCTAACAGACGCAACCAGCAAGTCGTGAATGCAGCGTAACCCATAGCTTGTCACGATTGTGTTGCAGCTTCACGTCACTGACTTGAAAAGCTCTTGGGCGCTTCTTTTTTGAGATGTCGTTCAGCAACGGCAACACCATTCATGTCTCATGCATTTGAACATCGGTTGTGTTGCGTTAGTGAAAGCTCAGCAACCAGTGCACAGCATTCAGGAGTGATTTCGCAGCAAGTACGTCAGCACGACCTCTCCTCATGATACCACAAGCAAGCTGGGCGCTTTCATTGGCGCTGTACAGCATAAAGATCCTTGCGCCCCCTACAAATCATTGTGAAATATGACTAGGTGCTATACAAGTTTACATTCCATGAATTCCAAACGCTCAATCCCTGAAAAGGGAGGGTCATGAACATCCTCTCGCTAACATGGCCCTGGGCAGTGCACCATCAGGTGAGTGGTTTGGTGATAGGGCAGAGAAATAACTTCCTCAGCCGCAGAACCAATCCTTGGTGAAATTAGATGATGATGATGATGATGATGATGATGCACGCGTTCTTCATGTAATATGATCCATTCCTCAGGTCAGGTGCAACATGAGGTCAATATGCTTGACTCACAGAAATGGGAAAGCATTGCTGTCTGACCCTACATAGCTCCATGACGTCTACATCTTCCTCGCCGCACGAAAAGGAGCTCAAATGGAACAAGTGTCACTACTGGTACCACATTAAATAGTCACTAAATGCAAGGCAAGGTCGGCGTATTTGATGAATGGATAGCAGTCAACCACTCGTAGTTGAGGATCTTTTTGTTCCGTAAACGCGGCGTGAGGACACCATGGTTCTTTTTTTTCTTCGCCCGACAGGCTTGGTGTATCTGGCTGAAGGCTTGTCGGACAAATGGGCAAGTTGCTAGGGTTCAAGTCTTCCGGGCATTGACTGAGGCTTTAGCTGTAGCGGAGATTTCGGTGAGGGCTTCTGACGCAACTGCGGGAATATCTCAATGATTGGGCTGTACAAAGTCGGGACATCAGACGTCAGAAGCCTTTGCTGGATATGCTGGGCCTGGGCTTGTTTACCTGCAATACCTGTCAATACCTGATCTACAACTCCATCCAAGTCAATGTGATGTCTGCTAACAACCGACAACAGCTGGGCAAGGCACCACTTTCAGCATTGGAGCCTGTTGGCACAATAATACTTACATGACTGAGCAATCTCAACAACCAAAAGTCCATTGTACATTGTCCCCGGGCTGTTAAACCCTCGATTCCTACTCCTACGAGTAGCTTCCAATTTCTGGTTGAATGTTCATGACGCGCGTATCTATCACAGCGAATGTCGTTTGGTGCTTGGGTAGGGCATCATGGGCATCGTTACGGTCGATCTGGCATCTAGAACTGAAAAAGAGCTGAAACATGCTGAAATTAAGTGTGCAGCTGGAGCCTAAACAAAGGTCTGACCATGTCTGACCTTTGCCCGCGTTGACATACTGATCCATGCTTGGCTGACTACGGAACGGAATTTATCTCTCCCATTCGGCAGGAAGAAGTTGTTCCATATAGGTTGTGGGCTACATAGGAGCCAACCGTCGTTGGACCATGGCTCCAAGCCATGCGTTCAATAGGCAGCCACAGTCAGTTGTGAGCACACGTGCCACTTACGAGACCCAACCTCTGGTGAGCAAGATACGAGAGAACAAGACATGAAAAAGCAAGCAAGCAAGCAATTTAGCAATGCGGCCTGCTTTCTGTTGAGCGTCTGAAGAGCAGTGCCATCATCGCGGCATTTTAATGATACAACACATACAACACAACATCTAAGGACTCTGCTATGCCATGAAAAAAACATGTTTGGGCTTGTTTGCAGAACACTTGAGAGCCTATCTGCCGTCTCAGCTATACAGCGCATCATAGAAGAATCCGGCAATTACAGCAGCATAATAACACCTCCTTCTCATGGTGTGACATGATCATGTTGGCGAAGGCGTGCTCATCCAGTGACAAACACACGGGGCAAGCTGCGCTTACATGCATTGCAGGTTGATTGAATGCAATTGGTGATTGATCAGGATGGCATGTGGCACAGCATTCAAAACTTGGGCAGCAAGACACACATCTCACATGGGATATTCCACTAGTGGCTAGTGGGCTTTTCCACTAGTGGCTAGTGGGATATCCCACACGTGGCTAGTGGGATTTCACACCAGTGGCTAGTGGGATTTGCCACTAGTGGCTAGTGGGATCTCCCACTAGTGGCTAGCGGGATTTTCCATAGTGGGATTTCGCACTAGCGGCTCGTGGGCCAACATTCTGTAGTGTGCAATGAGATGACAGGCCACGGAGTGCTGGATTGAGCAAGCTTTGAAGTGGATCCATTGGATTCGCTGCGCATCTTCATCCATATAACATGGCATCGCCATGTCTGGGTTGCTCACGGTACAGATGAGAATTCTGCATGGCACGGTTACAGATTGCGAAAAAGTCCCGGCAGTCGAAGACCCAAACAAAGCACTAATGCTGGCATGCTGTTAGATACGCTGGCAGTCTGCATGCAAAAGCTGATTTGCGTTTGCTGGACGCCGCAGTTAAAGTCATCTTTGGGGTACGAGTGCGCGAAAGAGTCTATATATGTCTATATGAGCAATGGTCAATACTC